ATTTCATGAAATCTTCCAGGTACCTGCGTTTCCTCCCAGAGACGTGCTTGTGATTCTAAATTAGATGATGTGCTTGCAGTGCATAGAATAAGCCTATGACAAATGACAAAACAAACTCTGTGGAAGAAATGCTGTTAGTTTTAGTTCATGTCTTTAGTTTTAGACTTTGTCAATAGAGAGGCCTTTATGTTTAAGCCGGGGATGTCTGTATGACTGAGGCTCTCACAAAATAAATGCCTTTTAATTCCTGTTCTGAACTGACACTAAACATTTTCAACAGTAAAAACTAAAATGAACAAACTCACTGTGGAAATTAACCCTAAGTACAATAAATCAAAAACAAAATGATTAAGATTAAGAGTTAAAATTAAGAGTTCTCACTGTATTAAAATGATCACATCATCCTTTATCTAAACAGTTAGATTTTCACTCTTTTTTTCATGTGTGGCAGTTCAGACCAGACGACTGTTTTCCAGCATGGCGGTTATAATGTCTGGCGTCTTGAATATAAAACACTGTGGTGAGTAAACCACGCTGTGCTTCCGCAGAGATTGTGTGCAGTGCAGAGCGTTTGGGGATGGCGAGAAGAAGGAGATCTGCCAAAAGGAGTGCAGCTACTTCAACCTAATAAAGGTGAAGGACCGAAAAGATCTACCTCAGCCCACAGACCAGAGCTTCCCCCTGACCCACTGCAAAGAGAAGGATGCCAACGACTGCTGGTTCTACTACACCTACGCCATCACCAAGAATTCCACCAAGGAAGTCTTTGTGGTAGAGAAACTGGGTACGGTCACACTGAGCTGATTTTGTCTGATTATCCTTTTACTTGCTTTCTGTTTATTGTTACAAAAGCAGATGCTTAGACAGTTTAATATTTCTACTCTTGGCTCTCTTAGATGTAATTGAGACTGGATTATTCATAATATGCTTGTAGGTTATCACTTCTGTGCTATATATAAGCACAGAAGCTTGCTTTTAGACTTTGAAAATAATCTCCAGCAATGTCCTAAAATATCATACCCAAGGGAAAGAAAATGAGATGGCAAATCTTCCCTACTTTTAAGAAATCAAGAAAATAGCCATTAATATCAATGATTACTTATTTTCTGTTTATGATAATTACATTTTTGTTCTTTATATGAGCAACTGTTTTCATTGGGTGTCTTTGCTTTCCTTTTCCGTTAGACTGCCCGTCAGGACCTGACATCATCCCCATCGTGGCAGGTGTGGTAGCGGGCATTGTGCTCATCGGCCTCGCACTGCTGCTCATCTGGAAACTGCTCATGATCATCCACGACCGCCGAGAGTTTGCCAAGTTCGAGAAGGAGAAGATGAACGCCAAATGGGACACGGTGAGTTAGTAGAACCGCATCATCCACAGCACTAAATGACAGAGCCGTTCACTCGGGTTTAGGCTTTAAAAAGATTTACCATGCTGAAAGAGCTAGAGTTATTTAAGCCATTGTGTCACAGTCCGCAGGTTAAATTTGGTATAGAAGGAGGCTGCTTGTTTTAGATGGTGAGAGTGTTATAAGATACGGGTCATTTTAGACTGGGACTTATGTAGAGCTACTCCAGTAGAGCTAGAAGCTTGAGTAAAATGAGTCCACTTTAAACTGTAAGTGTTAAACAAAAAGATGAGTGTAACTTTACAGATTTTTCCAGGATTGTGCATGTGACAAAGCTCTCTAGGCAAATATGTGAAGTAATCATGAGGATATGCCTCTCACTGTGTGGCCTGTACTCAGTCCTCCATGAACCCCAGCTCTATGCAGTTGTGTTAGTTCTCTATTCACTGAGGGCAGGGAGTGGCCTTTTCTCTGCTGCTGGTGCTGCCACTCGCCGTCCACATGCCACAACTGCATGACCATAAAAGGCAACGGAGCAGAGCGAGGAAGCCTGCAGAATGACCACTGATGGAAAGCTCAGCAGCAGCTGCTGCTCAGTGTGAGGCAGTTACAGCAGCAGTGTTTACGATTTGAAGGGAAAAAGCAGAACACAAATCACAGCCAGAGGACTAAATTAAATACTTAAATAAATATAATAAATATTAAATACTATTATTTACCATATTACAGACACGCAGTAGATGGCTTTGAATTTCTTCTGATAAACATGTCATGAAGTGGACTATGTTACAGTCAGTCGGGGTTTTTTTTTTTTTTAATGGTATTCAAGTCTGTTCTTCCTAGTTTCAGCAAACCTTTTTAAAGAAAATGAGTTTTAAGATTTTATTTTACTATCAAATGTTTTGGCAACACAAATGGAACCTATAAGGAAGAAGAATAAATATAAAAACAGTTTTAAAGAAAGTAGGAAACATAAACTACTAAACAGAAACTGTGCAGCACTAATGACTGGTAGTAATAATTATAACGCTAATTAGTTACTATAATGTATTGCCTTCTTAGACTGTTTTCTATCCTTTCCAGTGCTTTTCCTGATTCTCTCCATTTCTTTCTTCAGTTTTTTCCATTCATCTTCCTTCTTTTTCTTCTTGTTAGCAAGGGAACCCCATATACAAGAGTCCTATTAACCAGTTCCACAATCCCAGCTATGGGAATAAAGCCGCTGCCCTTTAGGTCAAAGTTTGTATCGCTCCTTCTTGCATGAGTGCAGCAATGAAATAAGTTTAATGACTGTGTGTTGTGAATTTATATGCATGTCTAACCATAAATTTATATCCTGGAAACATTGGAAAGCAGATTTATTTTCACATTTGGTGATTAACGTGTTTCTCTGTGGGAAAACATTCTCCTATGAACGTATAAAAAAGCAGCTGCATCATCTACAAACAGGCAAAGCTTAAAACAGCACAGCACATGTTTTCACATGTGAAAACAAAAACCAGAACTTCTCCCCTGCTACAACACCCTGGACAGATCGCCACTTTGTGGCAGAGCTAACATGAGAGGCAGAACCATTCATGCTCACTTTTTACATATACTGTCAATTAACCTAACTTCATGCATGCCTTTGTGTTGTGGGATGAAGCTGGAGTACCCCACACAGAGAACCCCAGAGCAGATTTGAACCCACGATCTTCTTGCTGTGATGTGACGGTACTAACCACCGCCCTATGCTGCCCGACCCAAAAAAAACTTCCAGGGAAAATGGAGTTTGCATTGTCAGCTGCTTTTAGGACAGATGAAAAAATAAACATAAAGCTGTCAGGAACTAGCTCAGAGTTCAAACAGGAGGGAAAGCGCAGTTTAATTAAAAAAGGAGGACGTTTTCTTCAATTAAATTAAACCTAGATAAAGGATACTGTCAGTATTTTGAGTGTGTGGACCCGCTTGCTAGGGAAAAGAGAGGTTCAAGTATGAATTTGTAAGCAGCTGGCACACAAACATGAAAAGGTTCTACGCATGTTTTCCCTGTTCTTTTGAGTGCTGTGTCTCGGTGATGCATTTACTGTGTTTGCAACGGTTTACTCACTTTTCTTTCTCCTTTCTTTGCATTTCTCAGGGTGAGAATCCGATCTACAAAAGTGCCGTAACAACTGTCATCAATCCAAAGTACGAGGGCAAATGATGGAGCTTTGCCTACTTCGTGACAACACTGTATGGAAAAGAAAACGGGAGGGGCGGGTTTTATAATGCTCACTGTTTTTGTTTGTCTGTTTGTTGTTGTAGCCACCAAATAATAGCATTGCATTTTGCGGCTCTGTTCTATTAACTTTTGATCTTCTATGCATCATCTGTAATTTGTACAGTATGTATAAACGTGTGGTTTTTACGTTTTGGGTTTGTTGAGAGAATTTTTTTTTTTTTTTTTTTGGTTAAATAGAAGCAATCAGTGTTTCGATGAGCGGTCGAAATGAATGTTGATAATGGACAGTAAAGGAAGGGTTTCTTTCCAAATTAGCGTGCATGCATACAGTGCAGAATAGGAGGCAATCAGTGTTTCAGAAACAGGCATACAAAAGTTTTACTGTGTCTTTAATCATTTTCAATGAGTGGGCGTCTCTTTGGATCGAGCCCTTCAGATGTAGTGCCGGGTTTGGCAGCAACGGGGTGTGTACAGGAAGTGGGTTTTTTGTTTAGGGTTTTTTTTTACTTTCTTTTTGTTTTCCTGTGTTCTGTGTAAAGCCATACATGTATTCACAGAACAGAGCTGGAGGTGATGGTATGTTTGTTTTCAAAGTGACATAATCCATCTGAACAATCATTTTTATTAAATGTGTCTTTGTGGAGAAAAGATTTTCTTGGGTTGCCTTACCTGATGAAGGGCAGCGGTGTACAGTAGTCTTACTGTTCAGCTCCAGGTTTTACTTGCTTAATTTAAAGCCAACTCAGGTCCTTTTATTCTTCTCAGCAATGCCAAATACACACAATTCTGCCTTATTTGCTGACTAAATTTGCTTATATTGTTTTTATTTGTACAATGTGAATGGGGGGCAAGTGTTCTGTTTTACATCTGAGTTACTACACCTAACTCTTTCAGAGGTGCCTCGATCAAACGTGCTTAATTAAAAAGAAATGGGGATGATGAAAAAAAGAGGATTGATAAGAGAACTTTTGGAAGGCTACGCCTGTCATCAACGTTTAAGTGCCTTTGTTGATTTCTCCATCACATTCACAATTGCGATTCTGTTTTCTGGAATTATTTATTGAATAAACCCCTAAAAAAATGTACCCATATTGTTAAGTGTCATTGTGTATTTGCTGAAGATTTGATGCAGTGGAAACTTACATCATGACGTTAAAAATGATAAGATGACGCTCCAATGAGAAGTGTGGATGGTTTTGTTTACAGGCATAACAACAAGACCGTAGGTATAGTAGCGGGTAGTGTTCTTATTTTATTTGTTTTACATTATGAAATTATCAAGCATTTAAATGTTTTATCCTGTTTAATACTAAAATAATCGAAGTACTATATAGTTTTATAAGTTAAAGTAATACAATTAAAATGTATGCAGTATGCGTGATTAAACAGTCCTACTTTTACAGTAATGTAAGAGAAAAATGGGGGGGGGGGACAGAAAATAAGAGAGATAAACATGTTTGACCATTTTTTTTCTGCAGCAGGAGAGTTGCTGTTGCTTCATTTCATGATTTTTTTTTAAATACCATATCTGTCTCTGAAAAGGTGTCTGGTATCAAAGAAGAAAAGGGAGAAAAATCCCTTGTTTTTTTTGTTTTTGTTCTCTGTATTCAAAGATCTTCTGAATGTATGAAAAACAACTCTTAAAAAGAAACTCAAGAGACCTGTTGAAGTCATTGTTTATTTATTATGTATTACAGACGTTCCTTTACAAAAATTAAAAAAAAAAATCGTAAGAATAGCATAGCTCAAAATATATTAATGCATTAGCAAAATAGTTCAATAATAAAAGTAGGAAAAATGGATTCGAATAAAAGGAGTTCAGTGAGAAAAAAAAAATCACTGATCAAATCAATTTAAAATGTAATAATCTAAAAACCTCAGTCATACAGAATAGAAATATTTTTTTTACTATTCTACGTTTAGTAGATTTTTCTTTTTTTGTATATAGCTTTTATTTGCTTTCATTTTATACTTTTATTTATTTATTTTAGCATGTAAATTAGCTACAAGCTAACGCTCGTCGTGACGTCGCCAGCCAATCACGTTGCACTCCATCCCCGTGGAGCGTGACGCCTTGAGTCGAGTGCTCTCCACAGGTGATTGGTGGCTTCGGCGGGCCAATCAGATCGCGTCGTTTACAGCAAAGTTGTTAACCCCCAACAGTAGCACTTTGGTTTCCACCTCTCTAGTTTCAGCCAGCTTTACATCGACATGGACTTTTCAGCAGCCAAAATAAGCCGTTTTTTGGTAGATCTACACCGGACAATGGCTCTGCCTGCCCGGACACCGGCGGACCGACCGGCTTTTATTATGAAGCCAACTAGAAGAAGTAGCTGTGGCTAACGTCAGTGGTAGTTGGGTGCCTCTGTGGCTAGCTGCGTCGTGTTGCCTGTCGTTTTTTTTTTAAACTTCTGACTTGCAGAAATATTGCCCATCTATTTATAAATCTCCGACGTGTGACCGATGGTCGACTTGGTGAGTATTTTTCTGCAATGTTTTTAACTTGAATCGATGGTCGCCTGGAAAAAAGGCCCATCGTGATTAGTGTTTTCTGGCATCAGATGATTTCATACACGCAATCAAATTCCTGGCTGGTCAGCTGGATGCGATTCAGCACTAAAACCACAAGTTTCTAATCAGTTTGCCACCTCCCGAAGCTAGGAGACCGTGATATGGATCGATATGTTCGGATGAAACGTTTATTGTTTTTATAAAACAAAAAAATCTAATACTCTAGTTGTTACAGTTAGGTGGAAAAATAAGATGTCGGAAATCTGATCGGGGTTATTTGAGGGGGGGTAAGAGAACATGAGCAAAAGGTGGCTTCCTCATTGAAAGGCTGCAGGTAATTTTTTAAATATGATTTCTTCTCTGGAATTTCCATCATCATCGTTGGAAATGTAGCACTGGGGGATCATAGGCTTTAGGGTGTGTGGCTGAACAGTGCCAGGCAGCTCCTGTGGTCTGCTAGGGAACTGCTTGGCCCTGGCCTATATGGGTCTGGATCATAGCCTTATGCCCCACTCCACTGTATTATCTAACCTACAGTAGCTCTTTTCATAAAACACCCAGCCAGAGGAAGACCTCTGACCGTCCTGGCTTGCTCGGCTGGATGAAGCTCAAATGGGAACTGCCTCATGGTGACTAGTTGTGCTGTCATTATTAGTTAATAATTAGTAATAAAGGCCTGCTTGGGATAAAAACTGTGTTGGGGTTGCCTCATCTTCTGCATTAGACGGGATGTAAATCAGACGAGGACAATGTTTCTCGTGTTTTCCTGTGATTATGTGAACTTTTTGTGGGACAAACCCCACCCACATGGCACTTTTGTGTTGTGTGCTGACCCAAAGTATGTGAGGTATGAAAGTAATGTATTTAG